GAGCTCACTCTCGGCTGTATACACGGTCCAAATAATCATACAATTGTCCCATTAGAACACTTTCCGGACCAATGTGACGAACTGAACATACGACACACTATCATAGGAGGTGACTTTAACTCTTACTTCGATGCGAAGTTAGACAAACAAGGTACACGGCAAAGTGAAGCAAACAATCGCCGGTGTAAACAACCGGTCACACAGTATATGGCCGAACATGATTTGACTGTCATATGGAGAGCTCTAAACCCAGACTTAAAATAGTTCACGTGTCATAGACTTAACCCTGCCAGGAAATCAGGGGTTGGCTTTTTCTTAATAAGCGCATCTTTAACGGAAGAAGGCTGTCCAGCTTTGACATCAATTGTAGACGCCTATCTGTCTGATCATTGCATGTGTGATACTACTGTCACCGTAGGTCACGTGATAGCTGGGAAATCATTCTGGAAATTCAACAATTCCCTGCTGAGTGGCGACACGTTCGTGACTCGAACTAAGTCAAAAATTACAGAAATAATAACTGACAATGAATCCGAAGAAATACCAATGATCACACTTCTTGCAACTGTCCTTCGTGTTCTAAGTGGCTGGATCTTACAATATGCTAGGCATAGAAAACAGGAAGTCGAACAAAGACTCATAGAAATAGAGGCTCAAGTAAACAGCGCGATGAACACGGACTTACGGATTGAAGTAGTTGCTGAGCTTAAGAAGAAACGTGACAGTTTGATTACCACACTGACTAAAAGTAACATGTTCGGCTGCAGAACCAACTGGAGACAGTTCGCAGAAAAGGGCATTAAATATTGTCATGCCCTTAACATAGACATTAAAGCTAGAGCTTACCGAGGAAGGAAATGAATCAGGTGGTCTTAAGAAAGTGTTAGAGAGTCGTACGTACTTCGAGGCGCTATATGCCCCCGACCAAAACCTAAACGTACCTGCACAATTTTTAGACGGCGTAACACGCCTGGACGACCTTAGAGCATCGTTCTGCGAGGGTCAGCTGACTGTGGACTAATTAGAAGCAGCGCTTCTCTCGATGAAAATCTCAACGAATCCGGGTCCAGATGGATTTACCGTACCGTTTTACAAAATGTTTTGGCACGACTTAAAAAGGCTCATTTCTTCTGCTATGATTGAAATGTTCAATGTAGGAACTACTCCGAATATCATTAAGTGCAGCATAACTGTATTAATACCGAAAAGGAACAAAGATCAAAGGCAAATGGAGTGCCTTCGGCCCATCAGCCTGAAGAACGTTGAATACAAAATATTAACAAAAGCTTTGGCACGAAGATTAAATGCAGTAATGAATGAAATAATAAACGAAGATCAGACAGAGCTTCTTCCGGGTAGGTTTATAGGCGAAAATGTGCGGCTAATTATCGACATAATTCGGTACGCAAAGATTCACAATACGCCTGGATTGGTACTGTTCTGCGATTGGCATAAGGCATATGACTCAGTGGACTGGGGTTATCTGAAAAGTGCCGTCAAAGCTCTAGGTTTCGGACCTACAATACAGAAGTGGAACAAGTTGATATATGATCAGACTGGAGTCACCCGGAGCAGTGCTCACGTGCAGATAAACGGCCATCTGTTAAAGCCGTACGTGATAGCCAAAGGCCTTCGTCAACGATGTCCACTCAGCTACCTACTAGTCCTGATGTCAATTGAGCCTTTGGCACGTAAAATCAGGAGCTGTAGCGACATTAACGGGCTTACCATCGGTGACGCAGGAATAAAGACTTCAGCCTATGCCGATGATACAGCTATTATTATGGATGGTTCCGATCAATCCTTTAGGGCATGTTTTAAGTATCTGGATGCTTGTCGAGATGTGTCAGGCCTATCCCTGAACAGACAGAAGACGCGAACGGTCTGGAAAGGTCAGCTCGAAACCGAGCAGGTGACATTTGTCCAGATATTGAAATATCGTGGGAGCGTAACTCAATAGATTACCTTGGAGTAAAACGTACCCCGATATGCGAAGACCTGGGAAATATTAATTATCCGGAAAAATAGAAATATTGAAAACCAAGCTTAACGCATGGTTTGGGCGTGGCTTGACTGCATACGAGAAGGTGCGTGTAATAAGGTCAGAAGCTCTCTCGCAACTTATGTATCTAATGACTGTCCTAGAAAAGCCAAATTATGCGTCCTTAACGAAAATAGAAACAATAATATCCCAGTTCACTTCGAAGCGATCTCGAGATAGGATTAAACGGTTGGTGATGAAAAATTGTCTTTTCGTAGGAGGACTGAGGGTTCCCGACCCATCAGCAAAGGCGGACAGTCTTAAAATGGCCTGGATAAAGAAGTTGCTTAATCCAGAGTACAACACCAAATGGAAGAAAATACTGCAACACAACCTAAATATAAATGTCTTAGTATAATTAAATACACTGCGATACCAATCCTAAAAAATGCTGATTTTCTAGATGGATGTAAGACGGATGTTTTGATCAGAAGCGTTAATTGCTTGGATGCAAATCGTGCACTCGCTACAGCACAGACTCTCAGGAGCAAACACTGGCCAAAGTCATATGGAATAACACTGATATGAACCTGGAACAGAATGTATCATTGAACAAGCAGCAACTGATCCACCGTTCAGTCGTTCAAATACAAGACCTTTACAACCACCAGGATCGAAAGCTCCTTAACGCAGACCAGTTGTAAATGCATTCCGGATATGGGGCATTTCTTACATGACAGCCTATACTGCATGCTATACCTCGTTCTGGAAAGGAAGTGCTCGCCCAGGAAAATCCCACCAATGCAGTCCTTCCATGCGCTTGTGAGGAGATAAGCAAGTGCGTGGGAACAGCGAAGTGGGGATATAGTGCGCTCCTATCCTCGGCTCATGTTTCTCTAACGGACAAGGCTCAGACAAAATGGGAACTTAGGCTTGGACCTATGGGGCAAGAACAAGGGACAAAAGCACACAAAAAAGCACACAAAGGGACAACGAGGGACGTGTGAGCCATATAACCGAGGTTTCTTTGGGTTTATTCAAAGGTACTCCGATGTAGAGAGGCATGTGGCTGAGAGGCACCGACACAATTCACACTTATAACCAGACGTGGCCTGTGATCTTGGAGAGACTGGCTGTGCTCTCATCTGGTTGTGCGGCGCGTTAACGGAGGGTCACTTATATCGTGTAGATGAGGCAGTTAGCGATAAACCACTGTTAGTACCGGGCACATTGCCGCTGGTGTTCGATTGCGTATGCGCATGAGGAAGTGTGTTAGTGTCTATGCTATCGGTCTGCATGCCGTCATTACCGGTGCCGATTCTCCGCCATGGCCGTCTGGCTCGGCCCTTCGGAGGGAGCTGTGGGACCGGGCTGCCGGCTGGGGGTGTGGCTGACTGTTCTGCCCTGACACCTAGCGGAGTCTGCAGCTGGCCGGCTCGCGCGCTCGCGCGACCGGCGGACGGCGTATGTTGCTCTGCGGTGGTTGCCGCGGTGGCTCGCGGGGCGGCGCCCGCTGCAGCAGGTGACGTTGTCGCCACCCGGGGCGCCGTGCATGTCATTATGTGGCTGCTCGAATTCAAAACAAGTAGAAATGCACACGTCAGGATGCTTGAGTATTAACAAAATGTGATCGAGCTTTAAAAAATCTCCTTGAACGTAGGTTGTGGATAAAATGGGGCCGCAAATTTGCAGTAACATGGCCAGTCCATGTTCGTCTTAAAATGTTCAAAATTCAGTCAGAATTGATTACTAATAAAAACTGTGTAATGTTGTTTTGAACATGCGCGCCCGCGAGCCATAACAACAGCATCGATGCCCGATGTTCCAGTCTTCATTGGCCGCGCGACGTTGGCCTGCGGCCGTAACACTAATCGATGGCCAATAAGCCAAGGAAAAAGATGACGCACCTTGAGAGAGATGGCTGATGAAGTAGGTAAATCGGCACATATGTTAAATGTGGTGCAAAAGTAAGCTAAACGCAACCTTAATCTGAAAAGTGGTGGGAGGGTGGCGGTCAACACTGCTGACCCCTGACCTGGAAAAGTGGGGGGGGGGGGCATGGCCCCTGGGCCCCTGTTCCTACGCCCATGCTCCGAGCCTTTGACACCGATTGATAAAAAAACTTAACCATTCGATGCCGCCTGGTCAATAGCCTATCCTGTCCAGAATATAGTGACCTTAGTTCAGGTCCAAGATCTCCAAGAGCGGCCGAGACCACCTGAAATTAGCTTGCTTATATTCACATGCGGATCGGTGCCATAGGCTCGGAGCGTGGGGTTGTCTGCAATCAATTTGGGGGTTGGGGGTTGGCCGTTTTTGGTGACATTTGACATGACCCAAGGTTGCCATGTTCTGGAAAGAATAGGGTATCGACTATGGCGCATCGATTGATGAAGATTTCATGGTGGTCGGTGCCAAAGGCTCCGAGCATGCAAATTTCTGTAGCAAGTTTCGATGGTTTTGGTCGTTGTTGGTTACTTTTGACCTGATCCAAAAGGTCACCATGCTCTGGAAAGGATAGGATATTAACCATGGCGCATCAATTGGTGAAGGTTTCATGGTGATCGTGTCTTAGGTGTAGAGCATGAGGCCGTCTGCAAACCTATTTTTCGTGTCTTTTTTGGTATGATTGTTGACCTTTGGCCTGCCCCAAGGTCACCATATTCTCAAAAGCATAGGCTATCAACCAAGCGGCGTCGAATGGTGAAGTTTTTATATCAATCAATGCCATAGGTTCGGAGCATGGAACTGTCAACAGGTTTGGTCAGCCATTTCGACCCTCCTGTTTTTCACGCGAGCCACTTCTGTATTGCATGCGTTACAATTACACCAGCCAATTTTGCGTGTACACTGGTAACTGCCTGGAAGCAGAGGAGAAAACTTCTCAAATTTGGTAGCTTTGCAGCGCATTTTCCCGAAATGCATTTGTGTTGGCAATTTGACGCGTCAGGTACATTTATAACTTCCAAACAAACTGCGGTTTTCGGGCATCGCGTGACGGCGCCTGTAGTCGCGCGTGTTGCGGTTGTGGGGCTTGGCGGCAGCTCTCGGCTAGCGTCGATGTAAGCTGAGGGATGGTTGAGTGAGTGGTTGCCTGTGTGATGTCTCATAAGTTTTTCACAACACGGTTTCGATTTTTATCGGAGAATCAAGTGTGGCATAGGTGGTTTTTATTCTGGAGATTACATTACCTCATTCAATGTTTGGTTGTGCATGAGCCAATATTTGAACTTTGCCCTTATTGATTATCATCCATGTTATGCCTTAGTGAAGTTGTCTTACACTTTTTAAGGGAATTCAGGGCTCAATAAACATGATGAGTGCCATTCTGGGTGCTCATACTTCCTTATTGGTCTGCTGATCAACCTCTACCAATATGCTTGCCAAGCTTACCAGTATGGCCTATGTCTGTGGTGGGAAAGGATGTGGACTTACCCACAAGTAGCTTGAGGCTGTTCAGTCAAAAATTGAACAAAAAATCACCAATTTAAGTGTATGTCTGGTGTGGAATGGTACAGACTGGCCTGCATGCTGCATGTTGCTTTAGTTATGTACAATGGCAAAAATTATGCAATGTGCTGGATCAACTGCCATCAGCTTAGTTTCAGGATATGTATTAGTTCAATCCTACCTTGTTCTTCCTTGCAGATGTGAGTGTCATCTTTTAATTTTGATACCCAGCTGTGATGTCACAATAAAGCAGATCATGGTATCTTTTGACATCAGTGACATGATCAAAGTCACATAAGTGTCATAAGAGTTGGTAGGGGCTAGCCATGTGGACATTATTACAACATCACAAAGCACTGTTGAAAAGCACATTTGTAAGATGTCATAACTTGAGGTAAAACATGCAAGCATGATTATGTACAGGTTTGGAAAAATAAACCCTACAAAATCAACAGTGTTATAAATTATTGTGTGAAAACAAAGGATTATGGTGGTCTGGGATACACTTTGGAAATAAAAGCCATATATTTGTGTTCCGGTTATTGGTATGGACATTTATGAATGGACAGCTGCTACAGTCTGCTCAAGTCATGTGTTTTTGTTCTCTGATGACCAACCAATGTGGTGTCTATCCTCACCATCCCTCTTGTAACCCAAGAAGAGCAATGTCTCCACTTTGCAGAACAGCAGTGCTGTGCTGGTCATGTAATGTAAGGATGACTAGCATTCCTGCATCTTGTTGTCTTTTTCTGCCTCATGGGTTACAACTATGTGTATTTGGAAAATGCTGGCTTTGTACTCTACTTTTCAGTACCTAAGTTGGCAGACAGCTTGAAATTTCTCACTTCCCATGGCAGATTAATGAAGATTGGTCCTGAAAAGCTGTTCATCAGTGAGTGTGGTTCTTTATTAAAATGTAATTCACATTTGACCACATGTGAAAACAGAGTGTTGGGGCCATCAACAATATATTCATTTATATCTTGGTCCATTGTCCAGAAACAAACATGAAACATCACAGGGTGTCATAGGTAAACATACACACCAATCCACACCAACCCACTCATGCAACAAATGAATTTGATTTGCTGGGGAGGTGCAGTGGTGACAGATCCTACTGAAGTGCATGACTGCTCATTCATAAGGTGCTGCATTGTGGAGAGAGGGGGCTGAGGGGACATGACCCTGCTGATTTTCACAAAGTGTCATTTTTACCTCAAATATTGCCTCAAAATAAATGCTTTTCATGTTTTCCCTCCCGAAATGGCATTTTAACTCAGGCTGCCCACAGCAGGTATCCTTCCAATCAACATAACCCTAACTCTTCCCCCCCCCCCCCAGTCTTAGAGATATGGTTATAACTACAGAAGGTGGAGTTTCGGTGCCCGCTCACAAGATGGCGCAGTAAGTGGCAAGAAGTCATACTGCAGCTCACTATACTGAGCAACCGACCACGAATCAAGTTGCCTTTGTTCTGGGGACGGCTGAATGGCTATCGGTGAAAATGGATCAGAATACCTGTGAGGGCCGTTTTATGCGAATCTAAACGGCCGTTTACATACGGAATGCTGCCATTTTCTTCTTCTTTTTTTTGTTTTGTTTAGATGATTGATGCACCTGAACTTCTTGAATGTCACATCAGTCACTGTCGATGAGCCACGTATCATATTATATCATGCCACGGAAGGGAATACAGTTTTGATGTCATATTGCATTGGTCATTAAAGGGAGTGGTCCACATTTGTGTGTGGCTTAAGGGAGTTAGCCATTTTGAAGATTATTCAATGTAATCCTTAATCGTGTCCTTTTTAAAGCCCGAAGCCTTCTGCTCCTGGGCTTGACGCGGGCGAACGTGTGCAGAATGTCGCGCGGCCAATGTGAAGGCGACCGAGACATGCATGATGACATCGAAATGTCAGGAATACCGCCACCTCAATGCCATGTAGTGCTGAGGATCAGTAAAAACATGATCGTCGAACTATGCGTGTCCGGTGCATATCTGCACGACTCGTGGCATCAACGAGCACCAGTTGGTGTTGAGCCGAATTGATAAGTTAAGCGTACGCGTGAAACACGAATCGCGTTTTGTGCTACATAATACAGGGACCTTGGCAGTGTTTTCAGTTGTGCCGGAGATAAGGCTGGAAATCTAATCAGGTAAGAAAGCGCCTTAGTATGCATGCAAATAAATGCAAGAATATAAAACCACGGACAAATATGCAAGAACACCCCGGGAAAGTTAAAAAAAAACACGCGCGCATGACAATATTTGTATCCAGCAAACACGCACCGGCAAGTTCCCTCCACTTTTCAGCAAGCTGAAATACTGCAAGTGTGTCAGCCCGTCCACTATAGTGGCAGTCCTTCACGACCAGCCGGGCAGCGACCCTGACGTCTTAAAGACGTTCCATAACGTTATTAAACGATAGCGTACTGAGGATATATTTACTAAAAAGCGAAGTTATGACATTCCGAGTGGTCTTTTACATTTACGGAAAAACCAATAGCGTACAAGTGACAAGTGAGCTTGCTTCATGGCATCTGAAGCTTGCCTCAATATATGGATGGAATGTAGAACATTCCCTCTGAGGTAGTATCCCACCTTTTTGTATTTTCACGCACGGTTAGATCCCACGGGTCAGCTTCACGACCAGAGGGTCGTAAAGTTGGTCGTCACAGATCTCACGGGTCAACATCACTTTACCCTCTAATCCTGTCACAGTATTGTTCACACAAATGATAAAGGGCAAAGGGTCCAACACTGATCCCTGTGGAACCCCCACGCTTTACTAGCTCACACCGGGGCCGCGTGCAATTGAGCACCACTCTTTGTTAATTGGCAATGCAGCCAAGCCTGTACCCAGTCAGGAATTTTCTTCCCAATGCCTTGCATTTTTAATTGGTGTAGCATGTATTTGACAATGGCCAAAATGTACGGTCCAGCCTGGGATGTTGAAATGTCCCAGTGCCACATATTTTCCACTCATACTTTGGCAGATTTATTCATGTATTTAAGTGTCCACATCCGGACAACTATTCGGAAGCCTATAGAAAGTTAACTCGCGAAATTTGGTGCCCCTCGGCATGACCAAATCGATGCAGTGGATTCTACGCTATCGCTATCCTTTATACTGCCTGTAATTTCACGTTTCATGTTCTGCATTTTATACACTAATATCCCCCTTTTTTGCTCTTTTGTGTAAAATAAAGAATTTGTAAGCAGATACTTCAGATTCGCGTAAGCTGTCTTCAAAAAGGTGCTGACTGATCAAGATTCAGCGAAAGCTACCATATCCCATTTTCTTCAAGCGTAGGAGCATGGAGCCCACCAAACTTGTCTTGGATACCTCCTGTAATCATGTTAAGGCACCTAAGTTTTCCTCCGCTTTTTCATTTGCTGCTCGGCGATCTCGACTTTGTACTATCTAGGTGTTCTACGTTCACCCTCCCATCCCCTGCAGCTAGGTTCCTTGATGGGCACATTCGCGCACCCTTCTCAGGACGTAGATAAGGCTGCAGTATTAGCATTATCCCTTGGAAAACCCAGGAGAATGGCGATATGGTTAGGTTGATATTTCGGCAACGTGCCTTTATCGAAACAATAGCTGAAGTACTATTGTTTCGATGCAGGCATGTTGCCGAAATATCAACTTGACTGTACCTACATTCTCCTGTTTTTTTTCCGAGGAATAAGGTTAATACTGCTGTCTTATCTACGTGAATAATGTTCCTCGCTAATGCACTGAACAACTTGTGTAGCTTCTCAGAACGTGTAAACTTTTCTCACAGAAATGGATCCCATGTATCTAGTGCAAGTCTGGGAACCTGAAAATTTCAACAAGAAAAAGTTGAGGTAACGTTTCTAAGGACATTTTACGCGTGCGACTACCTCGCACTCTAATTTCGTCAAAAGTTGAGAGATGAAAGTGTCAAGTTTTGATTGATTTGTCCCACCTCGATATACCTTTGATGTAATAGAGACGAAACCTGTCCGGAGACACGTATCCAGGTTCATTTCCTCACCGCATTATCTATGTACCTCTCCTTACGTCAGGGTCCGCTCCTGCTGCACACTGACTGGAATGTTTTGACCGTGTGTGTTAGGTGCGTGAAATGTTTGCCTAAATTGCCTAAATTAAATTGCGTAAATTGCGTGACGTGCCTAAATTTGGCGTGTCCATTTTAACACCGTTCTCCCGCTGGGAACAGGGTCAGCCCTCGCCAATTTGTCAATCTTTTTACCAGATTGTTCCATGCAGGGCTTCGAGATTCGGTGGCATTTTCGGAACATCAGTTTGCCGTGTCCAGACAAGGTTTTTGCATTCATATTGTACATAGGCGGCTCCAGGCTGGATTTGTGGGAGGTATGTCGTGCAAATCGTTCACCGTCCGGTGGTATCCGTTGCGAATTTTTTCTTCTGAAAGGTCATGTTCACCTGGAATACGCTTGATTCATGTTATAGATATGTTGCATCGAATGTAATGACATCGTTTGATTTGTATTCGTTACATACACATCTTTCATCGGTTGATAACAAATAGTCGGCGTGGTTTTCTCGCACTCAAGCGCCGCACCAAAAATTCATTATTCCTTGCGATTTTGCACATCCCACTTTCACCACTGCTCTGGGGTATTAGCACAGGCTGATACAAGCATCACAATACGGAGCTGAGAGAAGACCGCGATAGAACGTCATTACATTACGACGCCTATGAAGTTTGTATTGATAAGTTGTATCATATTTATTATTTATATTTATATATTATCTATACTATAACAACCCCGTGTGAAGTTTGTATTGACCGTCATTTTTGCGATCCCGCATTTGCGATTGATTCAGAATATCGTTCATACTCATGCACGACGTAGAGGCCAAAGCGGGAATAAATGCTAGAGTTATGCTTGATTTAGACGAAGCAAAGAGTCCGTATTTCCTATTTGGATTTTACTACATGACTCATGTTTTGTGACGTCAGTACAAGTAGGTAGGGTAAGTGGCTCCTAGGTCCGAAGGACATAGGCTTGAGAGCATGTGGAAAGAAAGGCACGCAGAGACCATAGTCATGCATCTGCTTGGATGGACAGGCCCCGTCTGAATGCCTATGCCGTCCAGGGGGCTCGCGCCGCCAGTGATACACGCACCACCTACTTGCCGTGTTGGTAGGGGCGGTGGCTGTGTCCGGAAACATGTGGATACAAATGGTGTGGATACATGTGGATGCAGTTAGATCCATGGATATTCCAATCTCCTTGTGACGTGCTCACGGGGCTATGGCACGGACGCCGCGTATGCGTATCGCATATGATATCGGCATATCGCTTCCGATGGTCAGTTTCCGGTCTCGGTAAAACAGTTGTCATGCGTTTTTTTTCTTTTTACCGGAAAGGTCATACTTTTGCTATGAACATGGATGGGATTTACCGGTGGTATGTTCTTGACCACCTATACTTCAGTTTTGCCAAGGACACAGTCCGAGGTGGTCACGTCAGGACGTAACGGAAAATGTGTTTGCAGTAGACGGCGAGTCCTGCCAGCCGTGCACCAGGCTATCAGGATTGCGCGGTTAGGCGCAGCACCGTATATATCGGCAGTAGCACAAGGACACCACAGCTGGGCCATATAAGCTGTAGCAATCCACAGCTGGACACCACAGCTCTGGATAACGCTGGTGTGTGCCAGAAGTGTGGCCAGATATCATCGGTGTGTACCAGCAGCATTGCCAGATATCACTGGTGTGTGCCAGTAGTGTGGCCGGATATCACCGGTGTGTGCCAGTATCGTGGCCGGATATTACTGGTGTGTGCCAGCAGCGTGACTACTCATGACCATCCGCTCTGCGCAGGAAGATGTCTGCCGCGGACACTCTACCGGACCAGGCCAGAGGGCTGGCGGCGGCGCTGGAGGCGGCCATGCGAGCAGCGGAGCAGGAGCTGACCAAAGGTAACACAACTCCTGCGGTGACGCGAGAAGACATGCGGTAGGGTGTCTTGATAGCACTAGCGCCAGGCGTGCAAAATATGTTTTCTGTTTTTTATGACGAACTTAAAAATGGGTGGTCTGCCAGCAACCCCGGATTCCCAGTGTTGGTGCGAGTGTTTAGGCTGTTGCATAATTACAAATAATTAATGCGGATGGGGAACTAACTGCTGTAACATGGGCTTCTGGCTGCTGGACGGCTTCACTGTCTCAACGCATTGTCCTTACAGGCACATGGAACCCTGGCGTTTTTAGTTATCATCACAAAACCACGGATAGATGTATTATAAAACACAGACGTCATGGGTCTGGTAGTCGTCGCAGAGTCACATTTGTAAATGACATTCACCTGGTACAGAAATGGCGGCGATTCCGTACATGTTTTGTGGTCTTAGTCTCAACTGCGCAGACGTAATTGCTACCCAAGCGGCAAATCTGATGATTTTTTCCACCCTTGCCTGCATCATTATGCCCTGGCTGATCCATGGCATGAATTTATTCGCGTTTTGCCCAGATGGAATTTGCCATGTCAAATGGACTGGGCTTACTTAAAACATCTCCGAACAAATATGTCGTCCGACATGAAAATCGAATTGCAATAAATTGCTTTTTGAGCTGCAGCAAGTCCTAAAACGGGCAGTTGCCATTTGGGTACATTTCGTCGCGACCTCACCTTGCTCTCGTACCCTTGGAGTGGGCACCGGAGAGGTCATCCCAAAGCTTGTTCTGAACGGCCTATGAACGGCTCAGCACAGTTCCGTAATGATGGGTAGCTGAATTATTTGTTTAATCACACCCAGAAGTGCATTGTTATCGTTTCGGTTGTTTGCACATCATCAGGTCATACAGGGTCAAGTTAGGCCAATATTTTTGCCCTCTAGAGTTAACCGTTTACCGTTTTACCTTACCGTTTTCCGCGAGTCGAAAATTTTGCAATATCCATTCCACATGGATAAGACAGTCGTATTAGCCTTATTCCTGTGAGAAAAAAAAAACAGGATAATGGAGATAAAGTTGGGTTGACATTTCGGCAACATGGCCTTATCGAAACAATAGCAGAAATGTTTTTCAGTTCTTTTTTTGTTCTTTAAAAAAATGTTTTTTTGTTTCTCCTATTGCTTTGATAAATGTATGTTGCCGAAATATCAACCCAACTATGTCTCCATTCTCCCGGTCTTTCTCCGAGGAATAAGGCTAATACTTCTATCTTATTTACGTGAATTATGCTCCTCGCCAATGCACTGAACAACTTACGTGATATCCATGCCACTCAGGTGCGACAGGTAAAGTGGCAATAGAGTGATTTTACAGCAGAACCGGCACAATGAATAGATTGCATGTAAATGCACAAGTTATGCAATGCGCGGCCGGCCTATGGTGGTCGTTTGTCACAGTGGAAGTAAAGCTCACTCAGCCTGTAGTAGAGATAGGCTTACCAGTGACGTCAAGCCGATGACGAGATTTTCACAGGTGGCATGATGGGAACGTAATTGAAGTACAACTTTGATCACCCGGCAGAAATGAATCGAAATATAACGTGGTATTCAGAATCAGCGACCTCAGATCAATAGGGAAGTATGCGTTTCAGACAACGTATGGTGTTATGCGGGTGGTCCGTTACGATGGTGTTTTAATCACTTCTACGGGATCACGCACAATAGGACAGGCTGTACGCAACATATGTGACAATCACAAGTTAAGAATGCTTTTGGCGTTAAGTGCTAAAATGTCTGGACTTGCTAACAGTGGAATGGTGTCGTGCTTTTCAGTGACGCTGGATGAATTCGTCTCCAACAAGATTGGAATGTTTGGAAAGTTAATCGGATCCTATGCAGACTTCTTCAAAAGGTAAATTCAAGATACACGGTTCGGTAGCGATGTGAGGTGTTAAGTGTATTTACGAAGAGCATTATGCATATAAATGAGACGGTATTAACAGCCTTATTCCTCGTAGAGTAAATTGGAGAACGGAGAGATAGGTGTGATATTTCGGTCACATGCCTTTATCTAAACGAATATCAATACTAAGTTCAAAATATTTCGAATTTGGGATCTACTGTCGATATTTGTTTCGATGAAGGCACGTCGCCGAAATATTACACCCATCTCTCCACTCTCCTGTCTGTTCTACAAGGAATAGCGCTATTAATGCTGTCCCATCTATGTTTGGTAGCGATCCCGGAATCGTAGTCCAGCGCGTGGGCAGTCTGATGCGCGTGTGTTTGGCCCGGACCGCATAAACAGGCGGGCTGCCAGCTAGCCAAAGGGGGTTGACTGGGCTCAGGGCAGTCGCGTCACAACACGATGCGGCACGAGAACGGTGACTGTGTGGTCCTGTACGCAGAAAGGAAGGCTGGACGGGAATGTCTGGTTACTTGGAACAGCTGTTTTCGGCTGACGGGTTAGCGGCACGCAAAGCAGGTCTTAGCAATTATTCCGCGCCGATGGCCACCCACGCAAATCTTACTTGTACACTGTGTTTTCCTAACTTTAACTGCGCGTACATATTTACATTACGAAAGCTGTTTATGGAATTTTGACACATATGGTTTCACCTGTGACCACAGCCCATTTATGCGTTTTAACTAGTATTAGTTTGTATATATGTCATCTCTCCAGTTTCATTGAAGCTGTAATATGGTGCACAGCTCATGACGCTGTCCGAACTAAAGTCAAACGAAAAGGTCGAATGGAAAACATTGAGTGAAGAGAGTCGACAGGGACAAAAATCGAAAAACAAAAAGCCCATAAGGAATACAAGTTGACGGTGATAACAACGGAATCGAGGAATGTCAAAGGATAAAAGGTTGCCGGGGATCAAAGTTAATAGGGACAAACTTCGGATCGGATGAAAGTCGGCAGGGATAGAATATTGGAACACACATCCCCCATGGGAACCAAAAAACCAGAATGAACCATGAGCCGGGGCTTAGCGTATGTGAAAGAACTGATTGAACCTGACAACCAGGGTCTGATGTTAATCAAAAGCAAATGAGAACCAGGAACTAGGTTTTTGTGTTTGTGAAGAGACCAATAAAAACCACTGACCATTTTGTATTTGCGTAATAACCGGTAATGACTAGTAACCAGGTTGCTGTGTTTGCAAAACGATCAATAGGATTCAGGAACCAGGGGGTAGCGTGCGTGAAATAACCAACCGGAACCAGGGATGCGAGGACTTGTTTTCAGAATGGGAAGTGGAAACCAGGAAACAACATTGGACACCGGGCACGTCTCGGCCCTGCGCCAGAAATAATGAAAAACTTGGTTGGCGACGGGCGCCGACGTTAAGGGTCGTGTCTTACCGTCGGCGTCTGTGTTGCTCGCGACGGTGGCAGAAAACGGTCAAAAAAGGAATTTGTATTGGCCTAGATTTGCATAGCCAGCGGGATGCACAAGTGAGATTGTGCACCTGATAGCCTTAGGACGCGTTCAGTATGGTCCGGTGCTGAAGGTTTACGGGCTGGCTTCCTGCCTTAGGACGCGTTCAGTATGATTCGGTGCTGAAGGCTTAAGGGCTGGCTTCCTGCCTTAGGACGCGTTCAGTATGATTCGGTGCTGAAGGCTTAAGGGCTGGCTTCCTGCCTTACGACGCGTTCAGTATGATTCGGTGCTGAAGGCTTAAGGGCCGGCTTCCTGCCTTAGGACGCGTTCAGTATGATTCGGTGCTGAAGGCTTAAGGGCTGGCTTCCTGCCAGGAGTGTTCCCGGGCGAGCGTTTAGGGGCCCAATTTAAAAGGCCTAAGGATGTAAGGTGCTGCCAATTTAAAAGGCCTAAGGATGTAAGGGAGTTAAACCCATTAAATCCGCGGGTGCATCTAAATGCAGTCGGCAACATCCCTTGCATGTCAGGCGTTAAATCGTTGAGTCCCTCCTGTCTTAAGTCACTTTGTCTACCTGCTCGTTTACTTGCATGCTTATCAACGTTTCTTTTTTTGTTCAATTGGATTCCAGGCTAACCTTTTTCCATGTCGACTTTTTCCAATTGAGATTTATCTGTTTCGACCGTTTGCCCATAGAAGTGTTTTCGAATCTATCGTTGCTATCGAATTTTATGTCTTTCGCGTTATTCCAGTTTGACTTATTCCTGCCAAATTGTATTCCTTTTGACTTTTGTCTTCGACTTTTTTCCGAATTCGAATTTCATTCTTGGAGTTTTGTGCCCTTCGAATTTTTGCCCCTCGACTTTTCCGGAATCGATCTCGTTTGTCGTCTTGTCGCGTCGTTTTGTAAAGTTTGCTCAAAACCAAGACTTGAAAACCGAAGTCATGCGTCGCATCGTGCTCTGAAAAGCTAGCTGTCGTGTTTGAATGTTTCCCACTATGATGATAGTGGGATATCAGATCTCGATAAGTGCTGACACCTTCGACTTTCTTGAAGCTCTGGTATGCAACTAGTCACGTCATGACACCGTGGAATGAGAAACGTAACGTTTCAGCCGCTATCGTTCGCAGAAAATCGGGTTCACCGCAGGATCCCTTGTGAGTTGCGAAAAGCATATTTTTATAAGTCGTTCCAAACCCAACGCCACTGATATATGTAACTTCTTACCGATCAAGCTCAGTGATGGTAGTTGAATACCGATAGCCGCAGTAAGTCACCGATATCAGTTAGCGACATATGCCGATATCTTCACTTTGGTTGAATTTGTAGATTGGTTTAGGAGTTGAGCCTGAACAGATGCTTACAAAATTATAAGGGTCTCACTCTTGATACCTTGACAACTAAACGAGTTCAGAAGATTGCAATAGATATGCGTCATCACGACTGGTTTGTATGCTTACTCCAGCGGCGCATAGCGTGACCTGAAACTGGCTAAGTTTAAAGGATGTTACTGACCTTGACTCGAATTGACGGTCTGCACGGGTTAGTTTTGTTGACGGACTTACGTGCCTCAAACTTGGTTGCCGACCAAAACATGACGTGATACACGTGGCGGCATGATTAGCATGTGCGCTGAGGACCGTGGCTCGGCGCAGCTGCGTCTGGCTGCGCGCGGTCTGGTGCGGCCGCGGACGGCGGTGCCGTGTCGTCCGACGTGGGTGGCTGGTGGGCTGTGACGGCACGCGCCGCTCCGCTGCCCGACAGGTGCGGCGTGACATCTCGGCAGGAGCTGGACGACCAGGTCCGGCGCCAGCGCTGCAAGGAGACGTTCACGGCCATGGAGCATCTGATCGATGTCGAGGTGAGCTCAAGCGGAATCGCAGTGACTCCAGGGAGCAGGGAGTCGCGAGAGGCATGCGATTTATCTCATGTGGAGGAAACTAAGGATATTTTATGCTCATAAAAGAATGAATAATCCCGGAAAACGTGCGTATATATATATATATATGTATATGCACATATATACACGTGTATATCGATATATTTGAACCATGGGCTATCCCCAGTGCACGGACAAAGGAAGCCCTCGTTCCAGATCACAGATGTCGTGCATTAGAACATTAAATATTATTGCACCACACACTGTGTCCGTGCCCCATTATATCGAGCAACTATATCGGATAGAAATTCTATCATGTGGTGGTGTCATATGGGAAGGGCTTTCGAAGGATCCAGGATTAAGTCATGATGTTCAGTGTAGGTTTCCAATTGCTCATTCGAATTGTTTATACAATTTTCGATTTATCAACATCTTTACATACCGGTAGGATATTTTGGGCGAACTTGTGTCAACAATTTCCGTATGATGTGCATTAATGAAGTGGTCGCCAGATGGAGTGTTTTTGGTCTTGCGTGTGGCATCTCATATGTGATCCTTAAAGCGCTCCCGGACGCTAAATTTGGTTTCGCCCATGTAAGTGCTCAAGGGGGTTTGCATAGATGGCCAATGATGAGTTACACAATATTTTTGTGTGCCACTTTCCCACCAACCCCGCGATGCAGGAGTCGCATGGCCTTTTTCCAGCTGGGCAGGGTGGTGGGTCAAGTGCTCAGGTGATTGGGTGCGCGGCTTATATTCTACCGTCCCTCCAGGCAACAACACGTGGTGGTAACCCTGCAGCTTGAATCGCTGAGGGTGCCTTCCTCGACAGAGTGCCGTCTATGAACGACAGACTGATGTATGTGGCGTCCAAAGTTTGGGTCGCGGGGTGTGTCGCTGTCTGCGTAGGCCATTTAGAGCATGCTTTGATCAGATATTTGCTCTGTTCACATACTGTACTATGTTAAATTATCCTATGTGGGTATTACATTAATTTGAAAAAGATGCTCAATTTTTAATCCTCGCATTGCAGCTGTTCCGTCGGAGGCAAGGCTCCAGGCTGATATCCACATAGGATGATTCATCAGAGTGAATATCTGATCAAAGCACGCTCCAGATGACCCAAGCAGGCGTTAACACACCCGTGACACAAAACTATGCACACTACATACAGCGGTATGATGTTCATAGACGGTAATCTGTCAAGGACGGGACCCTGAGCTATTCAAGCTGCAGGGTTACCACTACGCGTTGCCTGGAAGGCCGGTAATTAGTTGCGCACGGGACCATCTCATTGCTTGACCTACCACCCTGCACAGATGCGAAAAGGCCGTAAAGTTCCTGCATCGGGGTTAGTAGCAAAGTTTCGTACCAAGAAAATATTGTGTACCTCATCACCCGGCAACTATGCAAAACCCCCAAACACCCACATTGGTGAGACAAAACGTGGTGTCTGGAAGCGATTTAACGAGCACATACGAGATGCAATGCACAGTACCAAAAACACTCCATTCGGCGACCACTTCACTAAAGCACATCATACGGAAATTGTCGAAAGTTTGCTTAAAATATCCGTCCTGCACGTATGTAAAGATGTCGCTGAATTGACAACTGTGAAATCAATTCAAACCACAAATTGGACGCCTGCACTGAAAACCATGAGTTCCCCTGGATCTTTTTGAATCCCCTCCCATATGACACCATCACGCAATGCAATTTCTCTCCGATAAAGTTGCTCGATGTCAGGCGGCCCGAAAACAGTATGTGATGTATTCTTTTTTAGTGTTCTACAGCACGAAGTTTGTGGTCTAAATCCAGTGTTTGCTGTATTTCCTGTACTGGCGATAGCCCGTGGCTGAAATGCTTATGCGTTTTTCCGAACTTTTTCATTTTTTATGAGCATAAGATCATTCTTATTTTCATCTGCATGCGTCATCATGTCGCGCATCCAATCAGCCTTATCTAACATTTGACCCGTTTCATGACGATCCAGAATGGGCAGTTGTGAAAACATCTGCATCATCCATCACCCATCACCATCTTAGTGTCATCATTACCATCTTAGTCACCACCTCGTCATCATCCATCCCGTCACTCACCCTTGCCTGTCACGTAATCACCACCCAGTAGGCACCTGGCATTGTAAAGACACCACCCAACCCATCCCCCGTCCGTCACTACTCAGTCGACACCCAGTCACCGCTCGGTCACCGCCCGGTCATTACCCAGTCACCATCCAATCACCACCCGGTCACCACCCGGTCACCGTCCGGTCACCACCCGGTCACCATCCGGTGACCACCCGGTCACCACCCGGTCACCACCTGGTCACCACCCGGTCACCACCCGGTCACCACCTGGTCACCGTCCCGTCACCAACCGGTCACCACCCGGTCACCATCTGGTTTCCACCCGTTCACCGCTCTCTGACACGCGTCTCACCGGCCGGTGGGTCGTGTTTGTGTGGTCAGGGCGAGTGGGACGCGTTCCTGCTGGAGCTGGACGACCGGCTGGGATCCGGTGGACGGCAGCCGCCGGCGCTGCTCTCGCCAGCGCCGCGCCACCTGCCGCTGCTGGCCGCCGCCGACAGCGCCGCCTGCCGGCTCGAGGACTGGCCCGGATGCCGGCTGCTCGTGCTGCTGCGACACTTCGCCTGACTGCCGTGACGCGACCACGTGGCACAGATCCAGCAGCGACAGGTACGCGGCCCGAGAACACAGCAGATCCAGCAGCGACAGGTACGCGGCCCGAGAACACAGCAGATCCAGCACCGACAGGTACGCGGCCCGAGAACACAGCAGATCCAGCAGCGACAGGTACGCGGCCCGAGAACACAGCAGATCCAGCACCGACAGGTACGCGGCCCAAGAACACAGCAGATCTAGCAGCGACAGGTACGCGGCCCGAGAACACAGCAGGTCCAGCAGCGACAGGTACGCGGCCCGAGAACAAAGCAGATCCAGCAGCGACAGGTTCGCGGCCCGAGAACACAACAGATCTAGCAGCGACAGGTTCGCGGCCCAAGAACACAACAGATCCAGCAGCGACAGGTTCGCGGCCCGAGAACACAACAGATCCAGCAGAGACAGGTGCGCGGCCCGAGAACACAGCAGATCCAACAGCGACAGGTACGCAGCCCGAGAACACAGCAGATCCAGCAGCGACAGGTACGCGTCTCGCTGTGTGCCGTGTTACCGGCTGAGCTGGGTGGGCTGTCCGTTATGAGATGTCTGAGCCCCGCTGTGTGCCGTGTTACCGACCGAGCTGGCTGGGCTGTCCTGTGTGAGATGTCTGAGCCCCGCTGTGTGCCGTGTTACCGGCCGAGCTGGCTGTACTGTCCTGTGTAAGATGTCTGAGCCCCCTGTGTGCCGTGTTGCAGGCCGAGCTGGCTCGGCTGTCCTGTGTGAGATGTCTGAGCCCCGCTGTGTGCCGTGCTGCAGGCCGAGCTGGCTCGGCTGTCCTGTATGAGATGTCTGAGCCCTGCTGTGTGCCGTGCTGCAGACCGAGCTGGCTCGGCTGTCCTGTATGAGATGTCTGAGCCCCGCTGTGTGCCGTGTTGCAGATCGAGCTAGGTGGGCTGTCCTGTATGAGATGTCTGAGCCCCGCTGTGTGCCGTGTTGCAGGCCGAGTTCGCCCGGCTGGACTGCTCTGTGCTCGTGGTCTCATTCGGCTCGGTGGAGGGCGCCCGGCGCTGGCTGGCCGACACCGGCTGCCAGTTTCCGCTGCTGGTCGACCCGCAGCGGAAGCTCTACCACGCCCTCGGCCTAGCCAGGTCCATCGCCAAGGTAGTGGCGCCCGGGCTGCAGTGGGGAAGCGCAGGGGGGTTTATACTGCGGCCTTCACTTGCCTGTTGCTGAGACAGCGGTGTGGTAGGAACCTCTGACACTATTACACTACCCCATCGGGACAAATCACACCAATGCGCAGAATGGATCCGACATAACATGTTGCCTGACAGTATTCTGCCGGCTCCTGTAAGTGTGGTGGAACAACACGCTGCTTCGGGAGACTACTGGGCAAGTGTGGCGTTGGCCGTTGTTGTTTAAATTTGGGATGCTAATTTAGCAGCTATGAGCCCACCGTTTCAGTCGTCTTCTGAATTACGTTCAGCCGGTACACCAGATGTGTCGTCCGTGCCTGTACCAATGTCCGTGCCTGCTCAAATGGCTTGACTTGCAACAGTACATGATACAACATGTAAAGGTGTAGTCCCTTAACAACAACCCACATCCACTCGAGCTATATTAAATTCGCCATGCAGATCAATTTGGTCCACTCCCAACCGTGCTCTTGTGTCGTCAAGATTGAAAGGCACCAGCCGTATGGGTAACGTATAGGCATATAGGTAACGTAACAGATAGGTACAGATGAGTACGTACGTTAGCAGCAAGCGAAGTGCACTATTTCCGCTGGGGATGGAGCACCGGCCAATCCCCGGTAGCGTCTAAATGCGCGCCGATCGCGGCCTCGCTGGACGGGGGCATACGCTGGCGATGGAGCACCGGCCAATCCCCGGTAGCGTCTAAATGCGTGCCGATGGCGGCCTCGCTGGGCGGGGGCATATTCTGGCGATGGAGCACCACCCGATCCCCGGGAGGGTCTAAATGCGCGCCGATCGCGGCCTCGCTGGGCGGGGGCATACGCTGGCGATGGAGCACCGGCCAATCCCCGGTAGCGTCTAAATGCGTGCCGATCGCGGCCTCGCTGGGCAGGGGCATATGCTGGCGATGGAGTACCGCCGGATCCCCGGGAGGGTCTAAATGCGTGCCGATGGTGGCCTCGCTGGGCGGGGGCATATGCTGGCGATGGAGCGCCGCCCGATCTCCGGGAGGGTCTAAATGCGTGCCGATGGTGGCCTCGCCGGGCGGGCCCATACGCTGGCGATGGAGCGCCGCCCGATCTCCGGAAGGGTCTAAATGCGTGCCGATCGCGACCTCGCTGGGCGGGTCATATCAGGGGCTGCTGGCCTTTTGCAGGAGCCACAAACTACCCGTTGCCCCTGTGCTGTCACAGTTAACTGCCCCCTTCATTGCATGTTATTTCCACCATAGCTATTGAAACCCCACTTTCTCTAAGCACATGGTCAATACAAAGTGATGAGAAGGCGTATGGGTTGACTGAGTTATCAATGGATGATTTCGGCGACGAAGTACGTAGTCTGACACACAATGACGGTAGGCGAATGAGCAATAATTGAAGGAAGGTCGCCACATCATTTCCACAGCAGCTGAGAACGCTTGCAAGATCGTGTGCCGCGCAGGTGCAGCAAGGGAGAGCGCTGCAGTTGTGTTTGTGCAGCAGGTGCGGCAGCACAGCTCGCTGCAATACTGCACAGGTGTTGCAGGACAGAGCGCTGCAGCTGTGTTTGTGCGGGAGGTGTGGCAGCACAGCTCGCTGCAGTACCGCACAGGTGTTGCAGGACAGAGCGCTGCAGCTGTGTTTGTGCGGCAGGTGTGGCAGCACAGCTCGCTGCAGTACCGCACAGGTGTTGCAGGACAGAGCGCTGCAGCTGAGCTTGTGCAGCAGGTGTGGCAGCACAGTTCGCTGCAGTACTGCACAGGTGTTGCAGGACAGAGCGCTGCAGCTGTGTTTGTGCGGCAGGTGTGGCAGCACAGTTCGCTGCAGTACTGCACAGGTGTTGCAGGACAGAGCGCTGCAGCTGTGTTTGTGCGGCAGGTGTGGCAGCACAGCTCGCTGCAGTACTACGGCGGCCAGAAGGCGGCCGGCCGGCCGCTGCCAGCCGCCTACCGCGGCGTGGAGGACGACCCGCACCAGATGGGTGGTGACTTCATACTGGACGGCGCCGGCCGGCTGGCGCTGGTACACTGCAGCACGAGCCCGCCCGACCGGCCCTCCGTCCAGCACCTGTTGGAGACGCTCGGCCGCCTCGGTGACGACCAGCCCTAGCCGCGCCCACACGGCGCGCGCCGGCACCGGACCCGCATCCGTCGGCCAAGCTCGGCTGCTGCACAACTCCGCACGCCAGATTTCCGGGACAATCGGGCTAGATTAGAGTAGGTAGTGTGGTAGCTAGGGCTGTATCCCAGTGTCTCAGCATGGTGCTGGTCCTCAGGCCCCATCTGGTCCGCTGACACCAGGCCGCCGCGGACGGATCGCCAGTCTGACGGCTGGCTGGCTCCTCAGTAGGCCGTGGTGCGGCCTGAGAGCGCGCCTGGCGCCGCTCACGCGGAGATGGTGTGCTGCCGAGGGGTGGTGTCCGTGGCCGCGTCTCCACCTCAACCGCGGCCGGGCCGGGCAGGGCGGCGGACGGTGGCGCCGGCCAGATGGCAGCCGCCGGCCGAGCCCGCCGCCGGGAGCCGGCGGTCTGAGGCAGGCGGCGCCACCGTCCGACGTCGGCTCGGCCTGGACCGGACCTGAGCCGACATCGGCTCCGCACCTCCGCCTCGACCGCGGCCGGGCCGGGCAGGGCGGCGGATGGTGGCGCCGGCCGGATGGCGGCCGCCGGCCGAGCCCGCCGCCGGGAGCTGGCGGTCTGAGGCAGGCGGCGCCACCGTCCGACGTCGGCCCGGCCTGGACCGGACCTGAGCCGACATCGGCTCCGCACCTCCGCCTCGACCGCGACCGGGCCGGGCGGGGTGGCGGACGGTGGCGCCGGCCGGATGGCGGCCGCCGGCCGAGCCCGCCGCCGGGAGCCGGCGGTCTGAGGCAGGCGGCGCCACCGTCCGACGTCGGCTCGGCCTGGACCGGACCTGAGCCGACATCGGCTCTGCACACCGCCCCTCCCCGCTACGTCACAGCGTGCCAATGCGGCACCACGTGCTGTATTTCGCCAGCCACGACCGCCTCGCGGGGAGATGTATGTTTATCTTGGGGTCGAATCATGAGATCGGTGAGATTTAAAGGGCATTTGGTATCCCTGGTCATTCTCACTCTGACGGCATTTCCTCTGCCTTGCAGCTGACGGCGACACAGGTGTGACCTCAGGGCAAAGACCTCAGGAATGTCCTGACTAGAACACAGTTATGTGCGCTTGTAATGGTGGCTGTGCCAGCCCGCACATCGCACCGCTCCGGCGTCGAAAAACGCTGCTGTGTGTGCTCAGGCCAAGGTGAGCGTCAGGGAAAGGTCATTTGTGTTTAGTTGACAATGCTGCTTCAGGTAACATTAATTGAATTTAGTTGCATGACTGCTCTAAGTCAGTAGAATTGACCTGGATTTTACTTAATGCGCAAAGAGAGAGAAAACCTCGCATTTTTGTTCCAAAAGTGCTCACACCGCACAAGCCTACACTGGTTCCGACAAAGGTGATCCAACACAGCCGGCAAATGATCTGACCGTGTTGTATTTTGCCAAGGCAGCTGACCTTCACAGCTTGCTTGTCCTGAAATGTGTTGGGTTCACCTGGAGTGGTGCATAATTGATATCGGTGCACGATGGAATGGCTGATTTTAGACCCTCGGGCGATCCGGGCTCAATCCGGCATGGGGAATTATGAGGGTTGGGCTGTAGGCGTGCTGATAAGTCTGTGTTTTACGCTGCGCATTTTGAAGGAATCGCAAACGCCTCGGTTTGCAGATGCTTCGCGTCCTATGAACGGGTATGCGGATTGATTTATGGCCAGTGTGCTGGCATGGCATATCATTTAGCGTATGTTTTTGAAGTTCTTGAGGGCCAGCGAAGGATTGCGACTGTGCGCATCATGTTTTAATTGTAACCAGGGCATTGATAACATTTAATTTCAGGAATGTTTAATGGTTTGCACGGCGGGTAGGGGGCTACAAAGTGTATTCGTACCGATGTTTCGATGCCGTTTTTGGCTCACTGTCCATCACACCGACGGGTATTGAGCGCTCTGGTGTATTGCCAGTCGCCATTTGTCACTTTTCATTCCTGGTAATGAACCTGGACAGCAGGCTGTGAGAATTCTTGACGAAATGGCTCGAGGCCCAGTCAATGTTAACTAGAATGTGTTTGTTAATGCTACTTCTGCACATTTAACGCCGGGTTATGACGTGGTATGGGGCCGCCATGAGAGCATGGAACTTGGATGGACAATGCAGGCACGGAAGGCAACTTATGAAGGAGATACTGTAATCTTAAAACGCATCGTGGTATGAATACGTTTATGGCGTGATGTTTGCAATGTACAATTATCGTGACACTATGCGTGCTTGAACGTGTTATGTTTTACAAATCGCGGGTAATTCTTTTGATCGATGGACCTCAGTGTAGAATATATGGGTACGCATGGAAGATGTTTGTTGAACAAAGCTTGAAAACGAGGTGAAAAGGAGTCTGAAGATGTCTGGCTTTTATTTTTAGACGTAGACCATCTTCAGGTCAAATGATCAGGTGGAGGCGACGTTCTGTGCGAGTGAAGGGGAACGAGGTCCCCCTTTCGGGTAGGGGGCGTTAGTGGTTCGACAGCCACGCAACTTACGAAGAGGCCATCCCGATGCGATGAAAATTATAATGCTGAAGAGCGAGCCGAACATCGAACGTGAGGTCCGGAGCTCGGGACTCGTGAGGTGATAGCGACCCGCTGATGATAAGATGTTCTGAGAGAGATGGCGACGTCCACCGTAAACCTATACTGTGTGGATAAATCTGTATTTGTCCCGGGGGACAGCATGTGTATCTCCCTTGGATCTATTCCAGAGGGATAGAAGCCTACTGTCAGGCCCTTTGTCTGGGCGTATGAGCCATTTTAGGACATTTATTGCTAATGATCTGGAAAGCAGAAGCAGATGCTGACGGGCATGGACGGAATAAGATGCCCAAGCGCGAAGTAGCTAGCCGGTATGCTGTGATGCAACCTGTCTTAAGCATCACTTTCATTTTATTCTCCCCGTGAAGAAAGCGTTGCGTGCTTCTTCAAGGATTTCGCGCTGGCTGCTTTTCATGCTTCAGTTTTGTTTGCCCTCAGCGGTAATATCTAAAATAAGCTTGCTGCCACCAACCTTACTTGTCAAATAAGTAATACAAGACAATGGGCACTAAAATGGTTGAGCATGGAATGTCAAAATCGATTGCAACGCCGCCAAATGGGCCTCACAAGGGGCGAACGCTGGGTACGCTAGCGCATTCAAGACACTGCGCAGCCGACAAGTGGCCAATGCCCACACAAAAACGGCGAAAGCAAGCTCCATCGTCGTGTCTTTCTCACCTGCCGTCTTTCTCCGCTTCCCTTTTCCCTCCTGATGTGAAAACCACGCGGGCAGTGTTCTGAGGCTAGTACCTCACCAAAAGGCGGTGCTGGATCTGCTGCTGGTCAGATTTGTTTTTGCCGCTGCCGCTGGACTGGATCTGCATTTCGGGATAAACTCGGTTGTTCGTAGACCTGTTTTGCCTTTGGTACAATATTATTTCTAATGATCTTGTCATATGCGTTCGGCATGAAAGGGCACATTGTTCGAATGTTGGCTCTTGCACTGAAGTGACTACGAGCAATCTCATTCGGCCTGTGCATCAGAAATTCTCCGTGACTCCGACTCTGCCGTTCTGTGAATGCGTGCCGGTCCCGTGCCTCCACCGCTCCAGTCCACCCCGCACAAACCACCGCCCGTCTCTCCCCCTTACAATTAGGTCCTACACGGGCCCACGCTCCGCCGCGGCCCCCTCTGCCTCTTGCGGGGAGGAGCTGGTCATGACAATGCACCTGTACTCCCGTCGCCGCCCCTCGGCCGCGCTCTGTCGTCCGTCAAGGTAGCAACGCAGCCCGAGCCCCATACGCGCCCGCGCGACAGCACAGCGTCGGCGCTGGCGACCGCCGCCCTCGTGCGGACCACGCGCCCGAGCCCCTCCAGCACCTGGACTGACTGGAGCTTCGTACCTGTGTGACGTCATAGTCACGTGACCGCGTTTAAACCTCCAATGCGTAACAGTGAGGCGGTTGGCCTGGGAGGGCGCGCGCGGCGCGGCGGCGGCTGAGTGCCTGTGCGGCGGCGGAGCCGCGGTGAGCTGTGGGTGATCGTGCACCGGAGCGACGGACAGCACGCGCGCGCTCCGGGAGCGGGCGGCGGCCATGGCGGGGCACGCTTGGCGACTGCCGGCGTTGGTGTTGGTGGCTGCCGTAAGCCTGGCTGGCGCCGAGACGGAGGTCGGCGGCATCTACAGCCAACGGACGCGCTGGGGGCTGTCGCGCTCGCCGTACGTGGCCAGCAGTGACGTGCTGGTGGAGGCGTCGGGTGCTCTGGAGATCGAGGCGGGCGTAGTGGTGCGCTTCCGGCCCGGCATCGGGCTGACGGTGCGAGGCGGCCGCCTGCTGGCCAGGGTGAGTAGGGACCCGATCTGACCAGCTGATGGGGAGCGGCGCGGCGCCGGCCCCGTCCACCCCCGGCCCGCCGCCACCGTCGCGCGACCTTGAAGCGGGCCGACCCGTTCCTCGGCCGAGACCCACAGCCGCGGTCCCAGGCCGCTGCCAGTGAAGCGCTGCCGACTGCGATACCACGGATGGATGCTGGCTGCTGACTGAGCGGGCCAGTTCGCGGTTCGCGATTTGAAAAGATGACGCAAACGGACGGCCACTGTGTGGCAATAACTGATTCATGTCTTTGTCTGGAACTTCCTATCTATGTAGTTACGCGGGGGTACGGGCCGGGCGCCTAAGAGGGTCTTCGCCCCCGCCACCTCCTTAGCACATGAACAATTTGGCACCTTTTCGTCCCATGAAGGCACCGGCATTTATCATATGAAGCCTGAGGATGAGCGCACCAAATCCCAGGTGCGATGTACTTCTGAATCCAAGTGAAAGGGCGACTGGATGATGTGGGGTTGCCCTAAAAACATGGGTGTGCCTTGCCCGGGTGGAGGGGCATCCCCAGGCCAAAGGTAAGCACTTGAATTCGTCGGAATCTGTCAGCGGTTATGGGTGCAAAGTGACCTTTAACATCAGCGCCCTAATCCCCAAATCACCAGCGTTAGTGATGGATCGTGTTTACTGTTAATGCCCCAGCAGAGGCGCCTGTCACCCAGGCGTGGAGTGCGGTGTGATGGTAGAGGGACGTTTGAGGGTTCAAACAGAGCGGCACACCTGGCTGGTGGAAACTATAGGGATGTCCAATGCCTCGAATGCACAATACCCCAACTGGGGATGCCCACCGCCTTAGTGTACCGCAGCATAAAAAGGGAGTTGTTCACCATTACATTGAAATTCGAACTGAGAAGCAGGGGTGTAGGGGATACTGGAAAAGTGAATGTGGTGAAAGAAATGCTGGCTTGACGCAACATTTTTAACAGGAAGATAAGCGGGTGTTACAGGTCCCAAAGGGTAGCGGAGGGGGTGCTCCGCTGCGCTGTGAATAACTGGTGGCATGGCGTCATTATTGTTGACGTCAGAGCTACGTGATACAGGTTGACTGGGGACCAATCGTGCCGCTGGCTGCTGCGCTGAGTCACGTGCAAGTAGGGAGGGGTGCAGGCAGGACTTGTGGTGCCTAACATGTGTATAGGATTTGGACTGAAATAGCCATCCTGAAGATCATTCGGTGAAGTTCACAGCCCTGCCCATCTCAAGATCTAAACTCCTCTAAATTCTCAGCCAGGCACCCGTGAAAATGTGCAACCTTTTCGTGCAACTATTTCAAGGTCACCCAGACATTCATGACGCCATAGCTTCATTAAAATCCTGTCATTTCATTGACTATCTGACATGACATTGACGGCGATCAAAGCCAAGACAAATGTTTGCAAGCAAGATTTCCGGTTATAAAGGACGTTGATTCCCTCTCCATAGTGTTGTGCAAGATACGATGACGTAATCAAACAATGGCGCATTGAGGAGCATACTTACTATAATAGAGGGGCTGTGTTGTCTAGAGCAGTCTTTTCCACTTTATAGCATGTCATTTATTATAATAAGCTTGTTTCATCACATCTGATGTTTGCTGCAATATCTTCCAGTGTGGAGCATTTCCTTTAATAGGGGACTGCAGTCCCAAGCCAAAGTAAAGGTGCTTCCCAAACAAAGGTCATAATTTTAGTTTGGGAACCAGAGGTTAATGAGAGCTTACGATTGAAAGCATGGCAATGAGACTGCCAAGCGTTAACAACGCATAAATACATGCATAGTTTATAAAAAAGGTATACACAGACGACATTTTTCATGTGTAAAGGTATGTATTGCGTTGAGAACGGGCACCAATTGGAGCGCGTAAATTTAAAGCCAGTATAGGCAGACCTTGCTCTCGCACATGAACTGCGTGCTTCAGGATAATCATCCGCAGCTCGGCTTTCCTACGACAAGCACAGCCAATTATTATATGCCAAAACTCATCCCACGAACCCTCTTTAGTGCACATGGAAAATCTAAATACCATGAACCTGCTCTCGGGCTTAAAAAAAGCAAGGATGGAGCTCAGGAACAATTGGGAGATGGATTCAGTCGTTGACTGTCATTGGTTAGTCATTCAGGAGGCCTCCGCAAACTAAATGACCTGGAATGAATTCTGGCAAATGCATGCAAATGCGAATTCGAATTCAGATAAAAAAGTGATGCAGGATTTGTGTATGTATGTGTGCCACATATATTCAACACTATAGTATAGAAATGTCGGTGTCAAATATGTGGTACGGTTTCCATAACGATCTGTTTAGTTTCCGAAACAGAATGCATATTATTTATGGATTTTGATAAAAGTCCTTCCAATGTTTCAAAGCATGTAAAACTACCGAAATGCAGACCTTGCCCCCAGGACAATAAGGGGAACGTCTAAATCCTGGTAGACCAACGTTCATAAACGTAGACCCCTCGGGCGGTGTGCCCCATAATCCCAGCTAGGGACCGCTGACTGCGGCCCGGCCCGGCGTGCGGGCGTGCCCGCCCCATGGTCGCGTGAGTTGCCGGCGGGCACGCGGGCTCGCCCTCCACGGGGTCCACCCAGCTGCCGGCAGCCGCCAGCCAGCGCTGTAGGTCGATACGCTCCTGTCACTGCCAGTCAGCGCTGCAAGTCGATACGTCCCTGATACGCTCCTGTCACTGCCAGGCAGCACTGCAGGTCGATACGTCCCTGATACGTTCCTGTCACCCACCGGCCGTTGAACAAGATGACAAAGATTCGCAGCCAAAATGTCCAGTGCGGTCAGCAGGGCCGTCCCCTCGCCGCAGCCTCGAACAGGACTACCGCGGGGCGTGGCACTGCATCTTGGGCACATCCAGAGTTGGTGCCGTGCAATCCTTTACTGCATTCGTCCCCTCGTCACGGAGAGGTGTTGCGGACGGCAGTGGCACCCGCCTTTTGGGATGCTGGAGTACGCGCATTGCCGTGTTCATTCGCCGTCTGGTCATTCCGTGCGAGGTCGGCACGAGTCATCTACGCTGTTATAGACGTCAGCCACCGATCAGCTGTCATGACTAGAAATGCACCTGCATCATGGTGTGGGCACATGGTATAATTGATCTTTGCTTGGGGTCATATTCATTACGTGGAATATATGCGAGACGTTGGCGAAGATTTTGCCCAGGAGAGGGAGGGCAAAGATTGTCAAAACATAATTTAACCACTTTCCATGCAGGAAAATAGTTCAAATAGCCCTCTTTGGTGCTTAAAGTTGCAGTTTGTTTGATTTAAGGGCCCTGCTTGATTCGGAATATTATTTTGATGCATTGGAATACCATCCGTATATGCCGTTGTTCTGTTAGTTCTACGGGCATTATAAACTGCTAACAAGTAGCGGGGTCCAAATGCCAAATCCTGCTTACGCCACTGGATGCGAGGTTTTCGCATCGTCCTCAAGCGAGCGTGAGCCCTCAAAATGTCTGGATTGGTGTTGAATGACCAGCACTTCTGGGATCTGGCGTCTGTGGAATCAAACCGCACCTGGCGTTAATTTCATCCACAATGGTTTGTCTTCAGCACTGTCAAATCCATTCTGACAAACGATCTTGCTTTTGTCACGTTATTTTTTTCTTTTCGTATGGCGCTTCGCCGCCAGTGGCCATCAAACGGCCACGTGCCGCTAAGTCCCGCGCCGTGCATGTCGTTAATTTGGGGCTGACTGAGCTGGGGCGGCGCGTGACGGCCAGCGGATTGGCGGCGGCCGCGCTCAGTCCCATCCGCCGGCCGCAGCACCGCTAGCCCTGCGGTCCGCCGCCGCGCGCGCGCGCCCGTGGGAAGGCCGACGCGCCCCGCGGACTGGCGTGGACACCACGCACGTGTGGGGGACCGGGCCGCTGGGGCCGCTACAGCCGCCTGGCGACCATTTCCGCGGCACCGGTGACACGCACGGGGTCGATGGGCACGGCGTGCGGCTTTGTCGGATGTTCTTGGTCGGCGCCTGTCCGGGCGGTGCCTGGTGTCGTCTCTGGTGGACGGCACCGGTCACGTCACGGCTCGTCACGCGCCGTCACGCGCCGTCACAGCGGCCGGCGCGCGCCCGCTGGTGGCGCCGCGCCGCGTGATGCGTTTATTGCTCCCTCGTCAGCACGGCCGTTCGCCGCGCCAATCACGCCGCCGACGACGGTGCAGCTGGTTATTAGCCCGGCGCGGGGCGGGCCGGGTGCGTGTGCTCGTGTCGGGCCAGGTGTGCGTGTTTGTCTGCTGTTTGGTCCGACTGTAGCTCCGCTGACACCGCAGAGGCTCCAGACACGGCTTGGAGTGCAGCCCCGACGCCTGGTGCTTAACGGAGTAAACCTGCGTGATTTCATGCCACTGCCTTTTCAACAAGACAGAATCACCGATCTCTTCTAACTCCCTCAGGGGCTATGGAAGTTCTCTCAAGTTGGGGGCCAATGAGTACTTTTAGCTGTTGCTTTTATTGAACGTTAAAGGTGTTAGACATCATTCCAAACGTGATCTCCGTAGCATTGTGTGGAAATCAGCGACCCGCTTCCTTTACTGCCCCGAAGAAATATTTGGGTTTGCAGAGGCCGTAATCGTTGAGGTTTGTTTTATATATGTTAGATAAAGGTACGTTAATTAAATTGCATTTTAGATATGTAAAGCATTTTATATATAAGACATTTTAAGATATGCAACAAATTATATATATAACATTTTAGATACGTTAGCTAAATCATTTCTTTGGTCCGTCACCAGGACCAAAAAATTTGCGTGGAAAAACGTGACCAAATTGCGTTGTTATAGATGGCATGGCATTACGTGCACCCGTGCAAAGGATGGCTTACGAATGTAGTGGTTTATTTTGATAAGAGTGGGTTTCCAGAACGCTTCAATCTTGCGGAACACCAGCACACGTTAGCTTCGCGCCCCTAATCGGATGTAATCTCGTCAGGGGCGTCAAGGCATCTCGGCAACACGCTCACGCAGACTCGTC